TAATCATTGAGCTGAAAGGAAAAGTTTGACTTGTTGAATGTAAAGCTGATGATCTGCTCTGTAAACAATGCAAATCACAGTAAATGGATCTGAAAATTTTTAAAAGAAAAAAAATCCATCATGCAACTTTGCTCTTCTGAGCTCTATCCAAGGCTGACATTCATCTGATATAAATTTTTATAAGTTGTATGAGAGGTTCAAATATTGAAATACTTTAAAACTGTTGGTAAGTAATCATTGTCCCAGCTCCCTAGTTCTGGGCAGCACTGAACAGCCTACAGAAAGATGACCACAACTCCACAACTCCAGCATGGGCTCCATAGGCTCCTCAGTGGAACACTGCACCCCTGTCAATGACCATGGCCACCTTTGTGACTGTGGCCACTTACTGCCAATAGATTCTTTAACAGAGTCATCATGTGTGGTTGCATCTGGTAGACATCGTGAATAGATTGAACCATACGTAGACTGTTTTTGGCATTGGAATTGTTTGGGGAAACCCTTTTTGAACATATTTCTCTGTCCATAATCATGTGGAATTTGCAGAACCAACTCACATATCCAAAGATTGCTATGAAGCTAAAGGTAAATGACTTCATTTTAGAGTTCAGCTGAAACTAAATAAGAAAAATAAATTGTGATTTGATTCCTCTACTTTTGGTGGTTGTATGACTGATCACATAAATGTTGTACATTTCATGAAACCCTGTCTATTAACATTTCACTTAGAAACTATCTGTTTTGTTTCTAGGTAAATGAAATTTACCATGATGAGTCCCTCGGTGTGCATATAAATGTGGTCCTGGTGCGCATGATAATGCTGGGCTATGCAAAGGTAAATGTCTAAAAATATGTGAACTATGAGACTTAGATAAAGGATTAGAATATAGAAGACCACATTGCTGCAGCTACAGCTAAAAGCATAGCTATATCTTGCTTAGATCCCTTGTTGCTTTGAGCTGAGGAGGAAAACTGTCAGAATGAGTAGACTATATCTCTAAATTGAACATGCAAAGATTTTTGTGCTGGTGCCATTTGTTCTGTATTGCTCTAATGAAGAGTACTGGTGTGGCACTGTAGGATAAGCATTGAACTGCTAACAGTGAAGTCAGAGGTTCAAATCTACCAGGTACTCCTTGGAAACCCTGCCTAGGATCACTATGAGTCAGAACTGACTCCTGGGCACTGAACTGCAACAATAACAGTGGGGATGTAGATGGTATTATTCACTTTAGGCATTGGCAAGTGAATATAAACAAGTGGATATCATTGTGAAGAAAGACTTCCCTTAACTTATCATTATTACCAAATTTGTGATTCATTATCCAAAAAGTCTATATTGAGTCTTCCATGTGACAGATAAGGAGCTCTGGTAGCGTAGTGGTTATGAGTCAGACTGCTAACCTCAGTTCAGCAGTTAGAAACTACCAACCGCTTCATGGGGAAAAAATGAGACTTTCTGCTTCCATAGAGAGTTACAGCCTCGGAAACCCTATACAGTGTTGCTATGAGTTGGAACTGACACCATGCTACACAACTACCACCACCACCACCATGTAGCAGATACGCTGTAGGAGCTTGGAATCTATTAGTGAACAAAAGAAGACTAAGAGTTTTACCCACTTGTTATTTTCACAAACAATATTTTTACATGTGTATCTTTCTACATGAAAAACATCATGCAGGAAGAGAGCAAAAGTTAATTAAGAAGATAGGAAGGAAACAAAAATAGCAAAATTGATGTCAGAAAAAACTTGGAAACTTGCTCTTGAATATAGAGAACCTAAAGCAATTGGAAGAAATGAAGATATAAAAGAGCTGAACAGAAAATGTCAAAAGGCAGCTGGAGAAGGCAAAGTCAAGTATTATAGTGAAAGGTGTGAAAAACAAGTTTAGCATTTCTCAAGCTAAAAGAATTAGAGAAAAATTAAAAGCTCCACTTGGAAAGTTGAAGGATTCTATGGGAACAATATTGAACGATGCAGAAAGCATCAAAAGATGATGGAAAGAATACACAGAGACACTGAAGCAAAAAGAGATGGTAAATGTTCAGCCATTTCAAGAGGTAGTATGTGGTCAATAACTGATGGTCTCGAAGGAAGAAGCCCAAGCTGCACTGAAGACATTGGTGAAAAGCAAGTTTCCAGGAATTGATGGAATACAAATTGAGCACTTTCAATAAAGTGAGGCAGCACTGGAGGCATGCACTCATCTATGTCAAGAAATTTGGAAGATAGGTACCTGGCCAACCGATTGGAAGAGATTCATATTTGTGCCCATTCCAAAGAGAGGTGATCCAACAGAATGCAAAAATCATTGAACAATATAAATATTAAATAGTATATGCAAGTTAAATTTTAACTGAAAATAATTTTAAAGGTTGCAACAGTATATCAACAGGCAACTGCTGAAAATTTAAGCCAGATTCAGAAGAGGATGGAATGAGGGAATTCATTACTGACATTAGAAAGATCTTGACTGAAAGCAGAGAATACCAGAAAAATGTTTACTTGTGCTTTATTGACTATGCAAAGGCTTTCAACTGTGTAGATCATGACAAACTTTGGATAGCCTTGCAAAGAATGGATGTAACAGAATAGTTCATTGTGTAAATGAAGAACCTGTACATAGATAGATCAAGAGGCAGTTGTTCAAATGTACAAGTAAATAGTGAATGGTCTAAAATCAGGAAAGGTGTGCAAAAAGGTTGTATCCTTTCACCATACTTATTCCGACTCATAGTTACTCTATGCAAAACAGAACGAAACACTGCCTGTCCTGCACCATTCTCATAACTGTTGTTATACTTGAGTACCTTACTGCTGCCATTATGCCAGTCTGTGTCATCTGTGTGGTGAGCAAATAATTCTAGAAGCTGAATTATATAAAGAAGAATTTGGCATCAAGATTGAAGGAAGAGTAACCTTTCTTACTGGAAACAAAAAACACTTTTTAAAGTATTTACAGATGAAAATCAAGGAGCTCTGGTAGCATAGTGGTTACGAATTGGGCTGCGAACCTTAAGGTCAGCAGTTCGAAACTACCAGCTGTTCCACGGGAGAAAGATGAGGCTTTCTGCTCCTGTAAAGATTTACAGTCTTGAAAACCCTGTAAAGGGTAGCTATGAGTCGGAACTGACTCCACGGCATACAACAACAACAACTGATGAAGATCAATGACTTAAGACCTTCAGTATAGATTTCACCTCAATGTAAAGAACTAAAAAATCCTCACTACTGCATCAACAAATAACATCATGATACATGGAGTCCTAGTGCTGTGGGATAAAGCACTAGAATGCAAGGTCAGTTTGAATTGCAGACTCAGAGGTTCAGACTAGGAATCACTCCTCAGAAACCTGGTACAGGATCGCTATGTGTCAGAAAGACTCCATGTCACTTAGCAACGAGTCCAAACTGACTCAGTGGCGCTTAACAACAGCGACAACAAGTGGAGAAAAGATTGAAGTTGTCCAAAACTTAATTTTGCTTGCCTCCACAATCAATACTCATGGAATCAGCAGTCAAAATCTCAATGTATTTATTATATTAGGCAAATCTGCTGCAAAAGAACTCTGAAATGTGTCCGTTAAAAGAGGACTAAGATGTGCCTGATTCAAGCCATTGTACTTTCTATCACCTCATTTGCATATGAAATTGAACAATGAATAAGGCAGATAATAGATGAATCAATGCACTGAATTAAGGTGTTGGAGTGGAATATTAAAAGTACAGTGGACTGCCAGAAAAACAATTGTCTTGGAAGAAGTGCAGCCATAATGCTCCTTAGAAACCTAGATTGTGAGTCTTCATCTCTCGTACTTTGGACATGTTGCCTGGAGGGACCAGTCCCTGGAGAAGGACATCATGCTTGATAAATTGGAAGTTCAGCAAAAAAAAAAAGAAGATTCCCAGTGAGATGGATTGACAGAGTGGCAGCAGCAATAGACTGGAGTGTACCAACTGTGACAATGGTACACTAACTGGTAGTGTTTCATTCTGTTAGGCCACTGTGAGTCCGAACCCACTCCCTAGCACCTAATAAAAACAACACAATCTTTCAACTTAAGAAAACTGAAGCACATAGTGAATATTTTCAATTAAAAGACCTTTTGACATCTAAATTTTAGAACATCAAAATATACACACTAAGTGTGGGTTAATGTGCCAGACTGCAAAGCCGTTTGAACTGCAAGGTCGGCGGTTCAGGCTCACCAGCTGCTCCTCAGAAACCCTATACAGGGTTGCTATGGGTCAGAACTGACTCGAGGGCACTTCACAACAAGAAGCATTTAATGTAATGTCAACTTTGTTTTCATTGTTGACATAGATGTTAAGTGCCTTAGAGTCTGTTCTGACCCATAACGACTCTGTATAAGGTTTCTGAGGAGCCACTGGTGAGTTTCAACTACTAACCTTGAGGTTCAAACTGACTTTGTAGTCCAGTGCATTAACCCACAGCACCAAACTAGGACTCTCTTGTCATTAGATATAATGAAAATAATTTTGTTTCAGATGGAATGGTTCATTTCCTCTGAAGAAAAAACATGGGGAAGTGATTAACTTTGCCAATTTCCCTTTAAGTTTCAAAATGCTCACATATATACCCATAATTAATCCTTCTGATTATGACATACTAATGAGTTTGTACATTTAGAAAAGAGGAAAGAATCCATGTGTTTGCATTTCATTGTTTGCTTAACATCTGCTTATCATTTTATAATGATAGTGTGCCATAACTCTTTAGTTTATCCCTTAATCCTGAACTACTTGTTGCTGGCACTTAATCCAAGTCAACTACAGCTGGAGATGTTAACAGTCTTAGGTTGGTTGTTCAATCACAAAGCATTTATTTGGAGCAGTATGTGATTAGTATGTAACAAACCAAGCTTTTTACTAAGAATATAAACACTGATAATAATATTTGCTTAAATGTAACAAAAGCTTCAGCCTGCCAGCTAACCTAATTTTGGATTCCAAGATCAATTCCTCATTCTACCAGAACTACTCTGGAAAGTATGGCTTCTGGATTCTTATAAGGATAGACTCCTTTATCTTTCAACTTTAACTCTTGACCAAAATGTGAGAGTAGAAAAATTCCACGGAATTTAAATCTATTGGAACTGCAAGATAAGTGTAGATGTCTCTTCGGTATCATGAAGTTGAAAAGATGTGTTGTTTTATTCTTTCAGTATGGAGTTAATATAATTTGATCACTCCCCACGAAACTAAGAATTGACCAGCTTTGTCAGTTCATTGGCAAATTTTATTCTCTCATATGTTGACTAATTCTTGACCAAAAGAAATTAACATATCCAAATATCTTTTAAACTATAACTGGAAAATTAAATTCTCATGCCAGAACTGTTTTGTCTACTTTTCTAATTGTTATTGTTGTGTGCCGTGGAGTCGGTTCCGACTCATAGCGACCCTGCACAGGGTTTCCGAGGCTGTTAATCTTTACAGGAACAGAACACCTCATCCTCCTCCCGCGGAGCAGCTGGTAGTTTTGACCTTGCGGTTTGCAGTCCTATTCGTAACCACTACGCTACCAGAGCTCCTTTCTTCGTAACCACTACACTACCAGAACTCCTTTCTCATTACTATATATGAAATTAAAAATCCAAACTGAATCAGGAATTATTTAGAGGACTAGAACTCTTGCCCATATGATTAATATCAAATTATTTTATAATAGCAAACTTCAGCATCAGATGTTATCATAGATGATGTCAGTCAACTTTCATGCAAGTAATATTGATCATTATAGAACTTTACTTCATAGGCACTTAAATTCCCAAATTAAAGTACATATCTAAATAAACCCTAAACAATATTACTAAGCCATATATAAGTAGCATCGTAGCATATTTCTGCCTCAACTAAAGTTATTAAAAGAAAGCTTCGGGAAATTATCATTTGTGTCTTTGATGTATTGTTTCCACTCAGTCCATCAGCCTTATAGAAAGGGGAAATCCATCCAGGAGCTTGGAGAATGTGTGTCGCTGGGCTTGCCAACAACAAAAATCTGATCCCAACCACTCTGAACACCATGATCATGCAATTTTTTTAACCAGGCAAGATTTTGGACCAGCTGGAATGCAAGGTATTTCCATTAACCTTTAGAAAAAACACTTAAGGGCATAGCTTTTCAAAAATGGAATCCTTTATCAGTCAGTATGTTCAAATGCTCAAACCTCTCTCACCACTTTCTACCATGGGACAGTCAAGCATACATTTTATTTCTATTGCTTCTAATAACTTCTTTGGAATCATAATGCTAAAGTATCTTGTATACTGTAGTAAATTTCACTTTCCTTTACTGATGGTGCATTTAGCATGGAGGAGTGGGATGGTGCTACAAAATGAACTAACTTAAACAAACAAACTAAAAAACAAAACAACAACAACAACAAAAATGCACTATTTGAAATGAGAAAGATGCCATGAGAAAATGAATGCTGCCAAAGAGCTTTCATCCAAATTCAACTTACATTTATCTAATAAATTCTGATGTGAACTTTGGAAAGAAGCAGACTGATGGTTTTCTTTTTAATGTAGATGGAATTTCTGAATCTCATCAGCAGTGCCGTAATGTGAAGGCCCACACACTAAAACAGAAAGACAGGGCTTAGTTGGTGGGCAAAACAGAAAGGTAACCCTGGGCAGTTCCTTCCCTTAGGGAAAGGGAGAAGGCACACCCAAATGAATCTTTTTTGAAACTATTACCTGTAGCTTTCCCAAGAGAATATGATAAAAAGGCCAGCTGAGAAATAATACTGCCCCTGTTTTCTAAAAAGCAAAGGTCCAGTAGTAATTCTTAATGGGTTTTCTTATAAAATGAAAATAAAAGTAATTGTCATTCTCTATAGGATATGCTCCGGTCACAGGCATGTGTCATCCGGTGAGAAGTTGTACCTTGAATCACGAGGATGGTTTTTCATCTGCTTTTGTAGTAGCCCATGAAACTGGCCATGTGTAAGTCACTGCTGTCAGCTACAAAGCAATAAAAAGTCTTTTCTGTTTCTACAGTATTGTTCACACTGTGGACAGAATGCATGCCAGCATGCAATTCTACTCTCCTGCCAATTCTGAGGAGCTGAAACAGTGAGGAGTTCCTGTACTGAAACTAAATGAATGACTATTGTTTGGAGAATCACTCCTGTGTTTTGACAGTTATAGAAAATAATGAAAGAATGTCTATCAGATTAATTTCTGTTTCTCAGTTTCTTTGACTCCTCGTTAAAAAACCATTGTAGCTTAAATATATATATATATTTCCCAATATTAATTTTCAAAATATAAATGAAATCAAAGTCAGCGTTCCTAGGATTTTTACCAGCAAGATCACATTTTGTGTTCTAGGTTGGGAATGGAGCATGATGGACAAGGCAACAGGTGTGGTGATGAGACGGCTATGGGAAGTGTCATGGCGCCCTTGGTGCAAGCAGCATTTCATCGTTACCACTGGTCCCGATGCAGTGGTCAAGAGCTGAAAAGATACATCCAGTATGTCTCTTGTTCTATAGCGTGAGAGCTTTTATAATATGAACACAAACATATTACTGACTTTTAGGATCTTGGTCGTAATAAGATGCCTACTCAATGAAAACTCTTGTTCATGATAACCATTTTTTGATTACTCATTACATCTGTTGCAATGATTCCATAATGTAATTGAGACCTTTTAAAATATAAGGCTAGAATTTAAATGCATTTTGAATTGTGCTTTCTCTTTAGTAGCTTTAGTAGAGTCTTTGAATAATGGTCAAACTGGAGTTGAATACAAAAAGAGGAAGGTCAGGTGATTACTGCTCTGAATTTTACCAAAATTTCTCAATAGTTAAAATCTTGTGTGTGTGCCACTAGTAATAAGGAATAAAGCTGTCATGGCTCCACTACATGCTTGCCTTACTTAAATGGGTTGAATAAGAACCTAGAAATATTTTCCTATTGGAACTGAAACCAAAAACCTTAAAGTGGGTTCTTTTCAAGCCTATCTCTATGATGAAATTTCAGGATATGTGAACTAAGAATGATTTTCTACTAGTACATGATTTTCAAAACAAAAATCAGTTAACTACATATGTTGTATTGTTTTCTACAGTTCCTATGACTGTCTCCTCGATGACCCTTTTGAACATGACTGGCCCAAACTCCCAGAACTTCCTGGAATTAATTATTCTATGGATGAGCAATGCCGTTTTGATTTTGGTGTTGGTTATAAAATGTGCACTGCGGTACGTTAATCACAGTCAATTTACATTGCGCATCTTACCAGCTATTTGCTTAGCTCCTATTTGGTGAGCTTTAGACACTCAGCAGAGCAAAACTGAGAATGCCTTAACATTGTTTTGTGCTTTTTATGCAGCTGTGTGCTTTAAATATATAATTTAATCCATGTGATAGAAAAGAAGAAAGGTGGTATATTTTTATTTTTACAGATGGAAAGGCTAAGCCTTACTGAGAATAAACCACTTGTTCACACAACTGGTAAATAGAGGAGCAGCACTTTGAAACCAAGACTGTCAGGTTCCTAAACTAAATACTCTTTTCCTCATTTACTTTTGTGGCTGTCAGAGATTAATTTTAACCTTGAATAGATTGGTTTTCTTTATCATATTGGCCTGAATTCCATATATCTCTGACTGAGGAAGCATTTATAAATAAGAATCATATAAGCATCATATGATATAGCAGCTGGGCCAGGAATGTGGGCTTCCATAGGCAGACCATGTATGTCAGGTCCTGGATCTGACACAAGATGTATGATCATGATCTCCTTGTTTAATCTCTCTGTGAGTTAATTTCCTCATGTACATAATATGGAAAAAATATAGTATTTATCTTGTCCCATCAATGTAAAGATTAAATTTGATAATGCAACTAAAGTGCAGGCGTATAATAGATGCTCAGTGGAGTATTAAAGCTGGTTTCCTTCCATGTGGTTATTTTCATTACAGGTATATTTGACTTAATGCTTGTGCTGACATTTAGTGGTTCATTAAAAAATTAAAGGGTATATAAATATATTTAAAGAAAGTTTATGTGCTAGAGCAAGAAAAATGGAATCTTCTATATGATGGTATATATAAGTTTTGATCTATTTAGATGTTATGCCTTGTCAACTTCTAAGTACATGCATTCATGTTTTAGCTATGAGAAATCTGAAGGATTTCTGTGGAAGAATAAAATTTCTGCATAAGTAATAGAGATTATGACAAACAAAGAAGGATCAACATGGGTAATAATAATGTTAAATAAAAAACTGTGATCATAAGGTTGTTTGTGGGTAATAACTGTTGTTGTTAACTGCCATCGGGTTGATTCCAACCAATAGCGACCCTGTATAGGTTCTCACAGGAGCAGCTGCTGAGCTTGAACCACCAACCTTACAGTTCAAATGAATTTGCAGTCTGAAGCATTAGACCACAGCGGGACTCCATGGGTAATAATAGGCAATGAATAATTGGATAATTGTGTTTAATATTTAAAAATAATTTTAAAAGGATAAAATGTTTATATTCATTGTTGTTGCTGTTAGGTGCCATCAAGTTGGTACCGACTCATAGTGACCTTTTGCACAGCAGAACAAAACAATGTCTGATCCTAGGCCAACCTCACTACTGTTGCTATGCTTGAGTCTATCGATGTTGCCACTTGGCCAATCCATCACATTGGGGGTCTTCCTCTTTTTCTCTGACCCTCCATCTTACCAAACATGATATCGTTCTCCAGTGACTGGTCCCTCCTGACAATATGTCTGAAGTATGAGAGAAGAAGTTTGGCCATCTTGGCTTACAAGGAGCACTCTGGCTGCACTTCTTCCAAAATGGATGTATTGGTTATTTTTTGGCAGCCCATGGTACTTTCAGTATTCTTCTCCAACACCACAACTCAAAAGCATCAATTCTTCTAAGGTCTTCCTTATTCACTGTCCAGCTTTTGCATTCAAATGAGGTTATTGAAAATACCATGGCTTGAGTCGGGTGCAGCTTAGTCGTCAAGCTGACGTCATTGCTCTTCAACACTTTAAAAAGGTCTTGTGCAGTAGATTTGCCTAATACAATACGTCATTTGATTGATTGACTGCTGCTTCTGTGAGTGTTGATAATTGATCCAAGAAAAATGAAGTGCTTGACAACTTCAATCTTTTCTCCATTGATAAGAATGTTGTTCATTGGTCCGGTTGTAAGGATTTTTGTTGTCTTTACATTGAGATGTAATCCATACTGAAGGCTGTGCTTTTTGATCTTCATCAGTAAATGTTTTAAGTCTTCTTCCCTTTCAGAAAGCAAGGTTGTATCATCTGCATATCACAGGTTGTTAATGAGTCTTCCTCCAATCCTGATGCCATGTTTCACTTCATATTACCCAGCTTCTTGGATTATTTGCTCAGCATACAGGTTGAATAAGAATGGAGAAATAATACAACCTTGTCACACACCTTTCTTAATTTTAAACCATTCAATATTTCCATGTTCTGTTTGATCAGCTGCCTCTTGGTCCATGTACAGATTCCTCATGAGCACAATTAAGTGTTCCGGAACACTCATACTTCGCAGTGTTGTCCATAGCTTGTCATGATCCACACCATCGAAAGCCTTGGTGTAGTCAAAAAAGCACAGGTAAACATCTTTCTGATATTCTCTGCTTTCAGCCAAGATCCATCAGACATGAGCAATAATGTCCCTCATTCCATGGCCTCTTCTAAATCCAGCTTGAATCTCTGGGAGTTCTCTGTCAATGTATGCTTGCAGCCACTTCTGTATTACCTTTAATAAAACTTTACACGCATGGGATATCAAAGATATCTGCGTTCCACTGGGTCACCTGTCTTTGGAATGGGCACAAATATGGATCTCTTCCAATCAGTTGGCCAGATAGTTGTCTTCCAAATTTCTTGGCAGAGATGAGTGAGTGCCTCTTGTG